ATAAAAAGAAAAATTTTTTAAATTTTTTAAATAAAAAACAGTCATTGACACATAAAAAATGCTGAATATTTTAAAAATATATATTAATTTATAATCAAGAATATTTATAAGCGTATAAATTTTTTACGATGTGGATTTAATATGTTATTATTATATTCTTCAAATTTATACATTGTCTTAATAAAAATTATAAAATTATTATTTAATTAGAATTGAAGCAAAAATAATATAAAAATTTGAAATCTTATGTTAAAAATCGATGCGGAAAAGAAAGAAAAAAATCGAACCATGAACTTTGCTTAGAATATAGAACCATAGCCATCGAAAAATTTTATTGGATCACATTAATAAAGCAATTTCCAATCTGTTGGAAATCGCTACAGGCAAAATTAACTATTTCAAATTTAATTAAGATTTCTTATAATGCATATTTATTAAAACTTTTTTAATATTTCTAATATTTCAATAATTCAATAACAAAAATATTTCAATATAATATATAGATGTATTTAAAATGTATTTAATATTTATTTGTAAATTTATATAAAGAAACATAAATAAATAAATAGAATGTAAACAGAATATGAAATGAAATATAAATATATATGAATGAAACTTTTAATATAAAACGTTTAGATACACACCTACCTATAGAGAAAAAATTTTACAAACATCATTTTTCGATTCTTTCAGATGTTTTAATAATAATAATTATTTTATTTTAACCAAGTATAAATAGAAGAAGGAAAGAATATTTAATATGTATAGTTATTTGAGCTTAATATATGAATCCGGGCTCAAAAAACTCCGGATGTACATTTTTATTTATACATATATTCACACATATATATATATTTTTGTGATGTAGTAGCATTTAAGAAAGAGAAAGAGAGACCGAAATAAAATATAATTGGAGAAAAAGAATAAAATATGAGGGAAGAGGGAAAAATCGAGAGAAAATATGTCATATGTCACTGCTACTTTACGTTGTAGTAAAAAAGAAATTTTTCCTAAAGAAAAAATTTATTAGTTTATTTCTTTCTAGCTTTTCCGCATCTCGCTGATAATACCATGGATACACATCAACGTAATCATAATGAGCGCAAGCGCGAATTGTATAACGCAAATGGTGTCGTTGACGTCGCAGTAATTAAACCGCGGTCACTAGCGGTTTCGGATTCCCGCTTCCCGCTAATTAATCGTAATTTATTAACGACGTCTTTGCTCGGCGCTCGAGCACGGGCAGGTGAATAGAAACAACATGGGCGCGGTTTCTTCCTTTTTTCGTCCTCTTCCATGGCTCCGAGCATAGCACCCTGACCCTGGGCACATGGCCAGCTGTCTCACTCCACCCCTTTTGTAAGAGGCATATACTACTCTAAGAGTGGGATTTGTCTATCCCTGCACAGGCAAGGAAGAAGAGAGAGAAAGAAAGAGAGAAAGAGAAAAAGAGAGAAAGAGAGAAAGAGAAAGAGAGAGAAAGAGAGAGCTATATGGTGCGCAAGGACGGCAGGGATCGTCGGGCGAGAGAACCAGGGCGAAGGAACTTTTGTGGAGCTCGCGGAATAATTAGCATGCTCTCCTCAGCAGCCTAATTTTAATGGAACACCGACATACGGCGTTTCATATTGTAATTCGTCCTACATTGTAACGCGCTCGGTCCTGAATATTATTATCTACCGTGTTTCCTCCAGTAAAGTTGAACACGTTGAAAAATATCACGTGCATCATATATATACTATTGACTTGATTGAATTCGGATATCTTTTTATGTGAAACATTAACTTTATGCTTGGTTTTGTTTTCAATACTGATATTATTAAAAGACTTTAATAATAATAAAAGATTTCAAATATTGTAATATTATATAATTTATGTAATATTATATAATTTATGTATTTATTGTAATTTATGTATATATACAAATTAATTTATTATTAATTACATCTTTGAAAAGTAGATAGATTGTCACGAAAAATATTTATAAAGGAAAAATTTGGAACATTTATTCTATATTTATAATTTTCACAAAATATTCTTTCAAATATTCCAACATTTCGAAGCCATTCTTTCAAATTTAACATATGATTTCACTCAAGTTATAATTAATTTGTATCTTCATTATCAGAAAATAAATATTAAAAATTATGTTTTTAAAAATATGTTGTTAAAAATATGTTATCTAATTGAAATGACATGACATATGTCATGTCATTGGCATTGGCATTTGTTAACTAAACTAATAAATACAAAATAATAATAAATTGTTGTATTAAATCTATTTATCTATTTTATATAAAATCAATAGAATATAATTAATATATATTTATAATATTAAATCATTGTAATTAAAACATTTCACATTTTTATAAAAAAATCATTTGTTAAATTCTTTAAAATATTTCTACTATCTTTCAAATCTAAACTATCTTTCAAAATCATTAATAAAATATTTGTTCCAGAAGTATCAATGTAATGAAGATATATCACATTTTTATAAAAAAAAACCTTTCGGGATGTTTCTAACATATTTCGACTTTCAAAATATTTAATGAAATTTCGCTCTAGTCTATAAAAAGTATTAGAAGAATCTACGTCGCTTCTTATAAGATTATTGGCAACAATTCTATACAAAAGATTTCTCGTGCCATCTTTCGAAGACTTCACCTTATCGTTCCTCAAAAACACCCGGTAGATTTTTGCAGACCTAGCGTGGAGGCACAAGTGAGGACTCACATGCATACGCATTCGTACAAACGCACGTTCGCGTTGTATGCGCGATTGGCGTAAAGCGAGAGAGAATAAGAGAGAGAGAGAGAGAGAGAGAGAGAGAGAGAGAAGCG